GTTATTGTGTTCACGTTAAAAACCGCCCCGGTGTATGCTCAGAATAATATCCGTGTCGGTGCAACTGACGATGACGCCTCGCGTGGTCACAGGCCGACTACCCAGACGCCGGCTTGTTCGCAAACCAAGGAGGCGTGACGGAAGGAGGTGGGGGATGGGGGTCGTCGATTCTTGGCTCTTGTGTCTAGGGGGTGCGAAACCAACCATGTGTTTCACCACCTGCTGCTGCTGCGTTTCCTTGGAGCAATATCCTGCGCGAAGAATACTTGTGTTGCCTTACGAATAATCGCAATATCCTTGCGATGGTATCATGCTAGGTTTATTTTAGGAGTATGGGGTTGCATTGGGGTTAGGGTCAGGAATAGGAATACGACACCCTCCCTTTTTTGTTTCATGTACCACATGAATGAAAAAAAAATCCTGGAGAAGGCAGTCCTTCCGTAGTAGAAGCAGAGGCCCTAATACAGAACTGCCTCTAACCACGTCCCACCTCTACAACACACGTCGCCCCTCCCCTTGCCTTTCCCCGTCACAGAATATGCACTCGACGGCGAGGAGGAAGGGGGGCATATTGCCTCGCGGCTCGGCACCTCTTTTGCCATCGTGTCTATTAGAGTAGAGTCTGGGATAGAACATGCTACACCGTCCTGGCTCCGGTATGGACCGGTCGTGTGACAAATGCCCCAGACCCTCGTATCGCGGAGCCCCCTCTTGTACCTGGAATAAGAGGGTATTCAACTATGACATAACAGGGTCGAGTTCATGACAACCGATTTCGACCCTCTTTTATCGTAGCCCCCTCTTAAAAGGCATGTTCTTCCCGCTTATGATCGAAGCCACGACTGCTGGAGCAAGGAATCTCGCGTCCGAGTTTGAAGGTGCTGCTGCATCTCTCCTGTGACTCTTAAAAACTTCAAGAGCCTCCAAGGCCGCAAAAAGGCGCTATTCTTGCAAAGGCGGGTAAATGGATGCAACGGGCGCAAGGAGAACACAAGGAGAGAGCATCCACTACATCACAAGCACACCGCCCGTCAAGCGCCGTTGCCGTTTCTCAACGCGTGCATGTACCGGTACACCCAAGTTGAATTGCCAATAGTTCGGAGAGAGCAAATACCAAGTGCTTGTAGCGTTTGGCAAGCTACCACCCAGAGGCAGAATCGCGTCGCAGTACAGTGTAGCGCTTTCCCCGCCCATGCGCCCCAAGGTAACTCGAGAAAACTCTACACAGAACAAAGCCGACCGCTGGATTCACCAGCAAGTGTTGTTGCGCGCGGCTGACGGTGCTTTGCTCTGTTGCATGACGCGAGTCCTCGTGAGGATGTGCATGCGGGTTGGGCCCCTCGAAATTCGAATCACGTGTGTTTTCCTCTTTACTGCTGTACCCGGAGAGAGGAACAAACAATGGCGATCGTCGACACTTTGACCTTACCCACCGTGCGACAGACACCGCCACTCACTTGCAAGCGAGAAAAAAAGACGAGCCAGCGTGAATGCACAGGCTGGTTACCCCAAAAGAGCAATGCGTGCTGTTGAATGCGTGCTGCAACGCTGTACAGGAACATCGACCACCTGCGGTGAAACAGCAGTATTGTGCCGACATCATCGCTCCAGTACCGCATTACCATAGTTTCACCTGTTCTTCCGGCTCAGCACCTGGCCCGCGCCAAAGGCCACCACGAATCCAAGCATACTCGAGCTCATCCTTTTCCGACTTCTCTCCCCCTGCCTGCCTAGCACTCCACACGCTACGCCGTCTGTGCTCCCCGTCATGAGCAAAGGGGGACTCCGTGCAATAGAATACTGAGCATTCGCAGCAACAGGTACCCGCGATGGAAGAATAATGATTATCCGGTGCTCCTATGGTGCGATGCTGTGCGTGGATCTGCCCAGCCTGCACACTGCGTAGCGCAACAAGTCACCCACAGCCTACACCATGTCTATGATCTTCGATGAGTATGGGAGACCTTTTATAATCCTGCGGGAGCAACAGGCACAGGCTAGGATACGCGGAAAAGAAGCGCAAAAGGTGAGGTTTCGCGACAAGAGAACTTTTCAAAAAATAGCGGTCGAAATCATCAGGGTTTTTTGGTTGGCAACCAAGCCTTCTGCTTGGTTTGTTTGTTCCTCTCTCCGCCCTGCCTGCCGTTCCCGGCAGCACAACGTAGCACGCGCACCCGAACCATGGCAACGCACCCTTGCGTCCTTGCGTTGCTTTTTCCTGCTGCCCTGAAAAAAGCAACCAATGATGGGCGTCAAATTGCAGCACAGCTCGCACAAAGTATGGAAGCAAACCCTACCCCCCCGCCCGTTCTTTGTTGGACCATCCCCCCGCCTGTTCTTCGTTGGACCGGCAACGGGGTACATTACGTGGCTACGGTAGTGCAGCAGCACAACATAGGATCCAACATCATCGAGGGTATGCGACTTCACGGTTCATTCGTGCCCTTGCTTGGGGCAAGATTTGTCTCTAATAGAGAGACTTGGCGTGCCTGACTTTTCAGTGAGTTAGAAGGCCTTGGGCGCACCTTTGCGCGTATGTTTTTCCGCCGATCTTGGCTGGTGGTGTGCCCATACTCTTATTAATGCCACGACAACTAGCAAAGAACAGCGTGACCGCCAACTTGTGCTAGCACGCCTGCCCACCGAAAGGGGACCGAAGCCTGAACACGCTGGCATTAGCATCAAGAAGGATCCTAGCAGCCGCACAGGCAACGGAAGCAAAGGGACGGTGGCGTGGTGGTATGTACACAATGATGGACTTGGTCGCCATCAGCGCCCCCCCGCTCCCTGGTCGCAAATGATACTGGACTGATCAGGGCTGGTCATGTAACCAGGGGTCGGGCTACTAATAGTGTACATCAACGACGGCCTCCACGGGGCCGCTTCTTCCGCTCCTCTCCCACCGCAACCGCCCGGTGCCGTGTTGACCCCCCTAAACACGGCACGAAACGGAGCTCTGCCTCTACTGCTGTAGGTATTCAAATCTGAAATATACTGTCCGCTCCCAGAGGCTGGCTCATCTGCTACACAGCCGGAACTACACAGCAGTCTGCAGTACGAGTTCCCATGTACCAACACAAAAATGGCACATCGTATACACGCGACACCCGATCGATTCTCTGCACTCGATCACACTTGCATCGTAAACCAACCTGTGGCGTTTGACCTTTCCGACATGTCGCGGGAATCATGTACAAAACCTTTCGGTGAATTCGACCATGATTCCAAGGACTTTCCCCCAAGAATTCCTCGTGCGTGAGGCCCACGTCCTCGATGCTGTCGCCCCCGCTCCAGGGAGCCAAGGACGTACAGTAGACCCCATGCACCAAGCGTTTGTTGCGACCAGACTTGCTAGGCAGTGTTGAAATTCACGTAGCGGTAGGTGACTTTCCAAACCCAACGCACTACACCCGGCAGCATGTTACCTAGTTTGTGTACGCCTGCACGGCACGTAGTGGGCACAGGTTTCATCACCTTACGCAGGGCACCCTGGGCCGACAAGGCAGAGGACGCGTCCAGCATGTTAGTATTTCCTTCCCCCCTCCGGGTTGTGGAGTGACATCTTGAATGATCCGCCGGTATCTGCTGTATTTACTGCTCATTTCGTGAAGTGGAAGATACCACGCATGATCCTTGACCATTACTCCCGCGGCAATTTTCTTTGACAGAATGTGGAGACACTGCCTGTATTTTGCTGCTGCTGCTGCTTCTGCTCCTGCTGCCGGTGGATGGAGTTCGGCTTTCAAACCTCTATCGCGCCGCCTAAACTGTTGCCTGAAATCGATGATTCCCCGACGCAGACAAACATCCTGGCGGCCCGAAGCGTGAGCAACATCCTCCGGTCCTCCCTGGGCCCCAAGGGTATGGACAAGATGCTCGTCAGCCCGGACGGCGACGTGACCATCACCAACGACGGCGCCACCATCCTCGACAAGATGCAGGTCGAGCACCAGGTGTGTGAGACCCGACAAAGCGAGCGATAGAGAAAGAGAGGCAGGCAGAGCGAGAGAGACAGAGACAAGAGCGAGAAAGAGAGAGACAGAGAGAGAAAGAGAGCCAGGGCAGGGTGGTGGATGTTGTTCTCAAAGCTTGGCGCAGCGGTAAGGGTGATTTGGCTGCCACAACGTTCGCGAGGTTGCATCCTGGGTTTTCTCGTGAGGGATGCAGAGTGCTCCCGCCCTTAAGCAGGCCTCAAAAACAGCAGAATAGCTTTCCACTACAACAGACAGCCACGACCCCCGATCGGTAAAAGGTTCATGGTCAACGCTTGTTCTGGCCTGGGTCGCTCTGGAAAACCATTGCGTGTTGGTGAACCCACTGCACCACCCCGTATAACCGGCAAGTAGGTCTAAACTCCCCCCCCCTCCCTTCCGCCCTCTCGCCGGCCTCTTCCTCACTGTTCAGGTAGCGCGATTGCTGGTGGAGCTCTCTCAGTCGCAAGACGATGAGATCGGGGACGGAACTACTGGCGTGGTGGTGATGGCTGGGGCGTTGCTGGAGCAGGTAAGGCATCAAGATGTGCCAGAGTGGAAGCTAATGTGTCGGGGACGGAGCTAGGCGAGAGGTTGAGAGAGAAGGGGGGGGGGGGGGGGGGGGGGGGGGG